TTAACTATTGCCCTCCCTATACCCTCCCATACCTTACATATGAGTTGCCCCTTTTCCTAACGAACACACACTACTAACTCTCTTAATAATTGTTTTTAACTACACAAACAAACAAATGAAGTCACACTGAGATCAGACTTGTAAGAAACTCTCACTTCACACCTCATTCCCCTCCCTATCCATTGTTTATTGGATATAATATTGTTGTGTTATTTGTGTTTTTAAGTATATCATATTATTGTTGTCCTCGCCATACACAGATCAATATGCTATAATTTTTCTCAGAGCAAATAAGACATCAATTTATTCATTTCTTCTGATCAGTTGTCCTGCTTATATTATTCATGTTTATTGTTTGCTAATTTACAAGGTTATCATGTCTCATCTCTTTAACGTGCTATATCTATTCGTAATTAGTTCGTTATTGCTTATGTTTTCACTACATTCCTTGTATCTAATCATGTTATTGTGGCCTTTAGAAACATCCCTTAACTTTTACTTGCCGTGCTAACTGTTCGCTAATTCACACATGCATGTCGATGCCCTACATTACTCACCTACTCACCGACTGCTCTACAAGGGACTCAGTCAAGGATTATGAATTGTGCTAAGTGCCATGCATTTTATAACTGATTCTAACTCGTTTTAATGATGCTTTCTCTCAGTGTTCGATATCTGAGTGGTAAATATGAAACATTTAACTAACTGATAGAGTCTATTCCTGTTGCAATGAGGGTAATGCACTGCAGACACCATGTTTTATATAGGCTTGCATAGATAATTTTAAACCAGCTTACGGTCGTAAAAACTAGAACTGTGCCCACTGCACAGAAAGTCTACTACGGAGGAATCGCGCCCCGCCGCACGTAGAATCTACTATGACGGAATCATCTCTCTCTCTCTCTCTCTCTCTCTCTCTCTCTCTCTCTCTCTTCTCTCTCCTCTCTCTCTCTCTCTCTCTCTCTCTGTGTGTGTGTGTAATATATAATATATTATATATATATATATATATATATATGTGTGTGTGTGTGTGTGTGTGTGTGTGTGTGTGTGGTGTGTATGATATATATATATATATATATATATATATATATATATATATAATATATATATATATATATATATATATATATATATTATGTATATATATATATATATATATATATATATATATATATATATATATATATATATATATATATATATATATATATATATATATATATATATATATATACATATATATACATATATATACATATATATAACTCTACACTTTGTTGAACAAATTAGTCGACCAAACGACAACAAATTCAAGCTTTAAGCTGTTAAAATGTATATCCAGAAAAAGGCTTGATTAGGCTTCGGGAGAAAGGATGTCTCAGCGGGCAATCCACTGGAAGAGGCTTCCCTCAACCTTTACCCTTTGTATATTCCGAAGCTTCGGCCATGTTGTTGCGTGAAACCCGGGATTATCACAGCCACACTCGCAACAGTTTTCAGTGCTAAGGCTCTGCACTTTTGCATTCAAATTAAGGATCCTCTGCAGGTAAAAACGTCTTGCTATAAAGTGGATGCTAAACAGAAATCTTTATATGATTTAAGGGCTGTGACCTGTCTTTGGTGGCGATATAGGCAGATTGTTGCAAGTCTGAAAGAGACCCTGTTCTCTCCTCTTTATTTCACTATCCTGGAGTATGCAAGCTAAAGTATTTTTTCGTTTCCCTGCCCTTTCCACCTGTTCTCCGTTCTCCGTTTTCCACCTGTTCTCCTTTCTCTTGCTCCACCCAACCAACAATTCCCATCCGCTTTGTCGTCCCTGGAAACACTTTGCTCGCCAAACAAGTTCTCAAACTCCTACCAGTGTCTCTGCGGACGAGTCATTTTTTGGGTTCTTGTCTTTTTCCGACTCTTTACAGATCTATCTTTTCGTATCCCTCTGACTTTGTCTGCTCGTTTGTTTGTCTCATTTTGGCTCTCCTATAACATGGAGTTCAAGTCTTTCGCGCTTTCCTATTCTCTCTCTCTCTGTCCATCCCCCCTCTCTCTTGCTCTCACTCTTCCTTCTTCTCTACCTGCTCTCTGTCTCTCTCTCTCTCTTTCCCTCTCCCTCATTCTCTATCTCTCATCTCTCTTTGTTCTTTCCATTCTCTCGTCCACCCTGTATCTGCTGGTCTGTCTCTGTCTTTTGTCTGTCCCCACAATCCTCCTCTTTGGTCCCCGATTCACTTTCTTTTCAGTAAGAAGTCAATATGAGTTTTGGGAAGTTCTAAGCACATCTGTTGTATGTTACGACGGCAGGCCAACTTTACCTGGAAGAGCCTACCTGATTAAGCTGTCGCAGCCCCTTCGTAATTGAGTAAACAGAAAGATGCCAAGAGATGGAGATATTTACTGCAAGTTCGGTTATCAGTTGGGGGCACATGGCTGCAGCCTCAGCTGCGCCGCCGTTTAGATGAAAAGCCAAGAGGTCATGAACTGCTTCAGTTAATTTGGTTTTGCAAAGGTATATCGAAGTGCGGCTTCTTTGTGAGTCATGCTAATGGCAGTAGTGCCAGCGCCAATTTTGTCGATAGCTGATGTATTGATCACACCGGTAATTGCAGTAATAAAAACATAAAACAGTTATTGTTGCTCTCTCAATTATCCCACACAACACAATACACACACACACACACTCTCTCTCTCTCTCTCTCTCTCTCTCTCTCTCTCTCTCTCTCTCTCTCTCTCTCTCTCTCTCTCTCTCTCTCTCTCTCCCTCCCTCCCTCCCTCCCTCCCTCTCTCTCTCTCTCCCTCTCTCTCTCTCTCTCTCTCTCTCTCTCTCTCTCTCTCTCTCTCTCTTATACTCACAACACTCACATAAACATTGGGGATTTGAAAGGAAAGGAAGCCCTAAAAATTCATAGACTTTTATTTCATGTCAGATGGAGAGAGCGAGAACGAGAGCGAGAGAGAGAAATAGAGAGTGATAGAGAGAGAGATATGGAGATAGATGGAGAGAGATAGATAGATAGAGAGAGAGAGAGAGAGAGAGAGAGAGAGAGAGAGAGAGAGAGAGAGAGAGAGAGAGAGAGAGAGAGAGAGAGAGCGTAAGAGAGATAGATAGATAGATAGATATATAGATAGATGGATAGAGAGAGCGAGGGAGAGCGAAAGAGAGATAGATATATAGATAGATAGATAGATAGAGAGAGTGAAAGAGAGAGATAGAGAGCGAGGGAGAGCGAAAGATAGATAGATAGACAGATAGATAGATAGATAGATAGAGAGAGAGAGAGAGCGAGAAAGAGAAAGAGAAAGAGAAAGAGAAGAGAGAGAGAGAGAGAGAGAGAGAGAGAAGAGAGAGAGAGAGAGAGAGAGAGAGAGAGAGAGAGAGAGAGAGAGAGAGAGAGAGAGCGAGCGAAAGATAGGTAGATAGATAGATAGATAGATAGATAGAGAGAGCGAGAGAGCGTGCGTGCCGTGTACAAACAAGCGATACAAGAATCCACAGCCGATACAGAGCGCGCCCAGAGAGGAGCAAAAAGCGAGCGCGAAACGAACCTCCAGGAGCGAGCGGGGCGCGAGGGAGCCAATCAGTGCGGGGGAAGCAGATCCGCTGAGATGGAATTTTCTGGAAGAAAGTAGAGGCATTGCGGATTCAGGATGGGCGGTTTTTTCATGAAAGGAATGGCTGGTATGCAATAGCTAATCTCTGACGTCATCTTATACGGACGCCAAGGGAAGGGAGAGGAGTGAGGGAAGGAGGAGGGACGGAGGGCTGGAAGATGGGAAGGGGAAGTAAGAGGATGGGGAAGAAGGAAGTGGGGGGAGGGAATGAAAGGTAGGGGAAGAAGGGAAGGAGGGATGGAAGGGAGGGTAAGGGGAAGGGTAAGGAAGGAAAGGAAGAAGGAAGCTAGGGGTTGGAGGTAGGGAAGGAGCAGGCAGATGAGGGTGGGTGGGGGCAGAGAGAAGGGAAAGGGGAAGGGTAAAGAGCAGGATGGGCAGTAAGGGAAGGCGGAGCAGGGCAAGGGATGGGTTGTGGGCAGGGGAGGAGGGGGGGCGGCCAATGGATTGAGTGGATCCATTGCATTCCCTTCCCCTTTTCCTCTTGCTCTCGTCCAGTCTGTCTGGAGAATTTTTTGCTAGCTTGTCCGTCTGTTTGTCTGCCTCCGTTTAAGACAACACAAACAAATGCTTTAATTAATATTAGCCTTGGTAATAATGTTAATAATGATTTAACCACGGTAATAATGGTCCTTAGAATAAAGATTTTGATCATAACAATTATGATGATAAGTAGAAGCATTCAGAGACCGCATACCTCCGCCAAGGCAATAGGGCCACTGATGCAATAAAGAATATTCACGCTTGAAGAATTAAAATCACCTCTTGGATCCGGATCGCCACCAAATTTTAATGGCATCTAAGTTGAGCTAAGACACCTCTGGTAAAACAATTATAAATCTGTTCATAACTTTTTGAGTTATCCTGCCAACCAACTAACCAACAAACTAACCAACGCTACCAAAAACATAACGTACTTGGCGAAGGTAATAATGGTGATGCTAGTAATAATGATAATGAGGACAATAACCATAATAATAATGATAATAATGATAATGATGTTAATGATAATGATGATAATAATGATAAGGACAAAAACACGCAAAAAGAAAGAAAAAAAACAAAACAAAAAAAAAGACACTAGCATGATAATAGGGTGGGAAAAATATTAATATGAACCTCCTGGGAATTACCATGACACCGTTGCCATGGTAATTCCCTATGGAATTACCTTGGAGGATGGATTCGCAGAAGCACACATACACAACGTAATGAAAAAAAAAAAAAAAAAAAAAAAAAAAAAAAAAAAAAAAAAAAAAAAAAAAAAAAAATATATATATATATATATATATATATATATATATATATATATATATATATATATATATATATATATATATATCAGATATTTTTGTTACTATTGCTACGCGAAAGACTTAGTAGGTAGTTTATATCTATATTCCCAAAGGTTCTTTTACGAAGTGCTCAGATGTAAGGCCTGGCGAATATCAGAATATTCTTGCATACGACGCAAAAATGCAAAAAGCAACAAGCAACGATTCGTTCAAAAGTTTCCAAAAAAAGATGTCGAAACATTGTTTAAATGGCGTTAAGCAAGAATTTTAGAAGGTAATACGCAGGGTGACAGTAGGACAAGTGTACAAAGACTACTTGAGAATGGACCTGAACCCAAAAGATCACACGAATGATAAAGACCATAAATGTTATCACTGATTGCAAGTGCAAAGGGGGCTTTCTGGTCCGCAGACGAAACTATGACAGAAGAAGTCATCACGAGTATTTCAAAAATCAAGTGTGCTGCAGCGCATGGCGTGTCCGGTCAAGTGGAGCGAGCTCCGTGGGCGGCTGCTAGATGGGCGGCAGCTTCAAGGAACTTGACGCAAGAAAGTGAACAAATCAAAACTTACAACACTTAAGGAAGCACATACTTTACAATATTGTCTCGGGAGCGTTGAATTACAGGGAGATTGTTATTTTCACAACAAAAAAGAATAAACGCGTGGCGTGAACGTAAAGAAATTATTTTCCAAATATAAGTGTTGAAGAGTATATTTCAGACAACACTCGATGTGCTTGTAACATTTATCAGCACAGATATACGGGCTATGATAACGTGAGCACAAAAGAAGTACTTTTTTTAGGAGCACTAGTTGGACGGGCACACACACACACACACACACACACACACACACACACACACCACACACCACACACACACACACACACACACACACACACACACACACACACACACACACACACACACACACACACACACACACACACACATACACACACAACACAAACACACACACACACACATACACATGTAATAATAATAGTAGTAGTGATGGTAGTGATAATAACAGTAATAATGATGAGAAAATAATGATGGCAATAATGATAATAGAAAAAAATATGATGGTAATGATAGTATAACAAAAATATTAACAATAATAATGATAATGATAATAATGATGATAGTAATATTAATGATAATAATGATAATATCTATATTGTTAATAATGATAACAATGATAATAATAATGATCATACTACTACTACTAATGATAATGATAATGGTAATGATAATTGCAATAATAATGCTAACAATAATGATGACAGTAATAATAAGAATAACAATAATGGTAATAATAATGTTAACAATAATAACAATAACAGTACTACTACTACTAATGATAGATATATAGACAGGTGAACAGACAGACAGAGGAAAAGACAGAGATATATATGGACAGATAGCAAGACAGGTAATCAAACTGACAGGCAGACAGACAGACAAACAAAGAGGCAGATAAATAGATATATAGATAAACAGAAAGATAGAGAATAGATAGATATATAGAGAGATAGACAAAGGGACAGACAGAGAGACAGACATATAGATAGATGAAAAGTCAGATAGATAGAAAGATAGGCAGAGAGGGAGCACCCTTGGGCGCGCTGCGTGGGAGAAGGCAGGCCTAATAGAGCCTCGGCGGGGGGGGGGGGGAGAGCCGAGGGACATTATGATTGGTTCCTGCGGCTCCCGGAGGAGGTGTTGAGCATCAATATCCTGCACAGGATGAGGCCCGACATCATCTCGCGGCCTCGACATCAGTCAGGAAGATCCCCGGATCTAAAACATTCTTGTGCGAGGCTTACGGCGGAGGGACGGCCTTTGTCGCGGGATGGCGGCGGGGATAGGGTGAAGGTAGGGTGCTGATGGTGGCGGCGAGGATAGGGTGAAGGTAGGGTGCTGATGGTGGCGGCGAGGATAGGGTGAAGGTAGGGTGCTGATGGTGGCGGCGAGGATAGGGTGAAGGTAGGTGCTGATGTGTGGCAGAGATAGGGTGAAGGTAGGTGCTGATGGTGTTTGGCGAGGATAGGGTGAAGGTAGGTGCTGATGGTGGCGGCGAGGATAGGTGAAGTAGGGTGCTGAGTTGGTGAGGATAGGGTGAAGGTAGGGTGCTGATGGTGGCGGCGGGGATAGGGTGAAGGTAGGGTGCTGATGGTGGCGGCGAGGATAGGATGAAGGTAGGATGCTGATGGTGTTGGCGAGGATAGGGTGAAGGTAGGGTGCTGATGGTGGCGGCGGCGATAGAGGTGAAGGTAGGGTGCTGAATGGTGTTGGTGAGGATAGGGTGAAGATTAGGGTGCTGATGGTGCGGCGGCCGGATAGGGTGAAGATAGGGTGCTGATGGTGGCGGCGAGGATAGGGTGAAGGTAGGGTGCTGATGGTGTTGGCGAGGATAGGGTGAAGTAGGTGCTGATGGTGTTTGGCGAGGGATAGGGGTAAGGTAGGGTGCTCTGATGTGTTCGAGGCGCGAGGATAGGGTGAAGATACGGGTGCTGATGGTGTTGGTGAGGAATAGCGGTGAAGGATAGGGTTGCTGATGGATGGCGGCGGGCGACTAGGGTGAATGTAGGGTTGCTGATGGTGGCGGCGAGGATAGGATTGAAGTAGGGTGCTGCATGGTGTGGCAGCGATAGGGTTGAAGGTAAGGGTCGCTACCATGGTGGCGGCGAGGGAATAGGCGTGAATGGTAGCGGTGCTGATGGCGTGTTGGGAGTGATTAAGGGGGAAGATAGGTGCTGATCGGCTGGCGGCGGAGGATAGGCGTGATGATAGGTCGCTGATGGTGCGGCAAGGATGGGTGAAGTAGTGCTGATGGGTTGGCGAGCGATAGGGTGAAGGAGGGTGCTGATGCACGCTGTTGGCGAGGCATAGGGTGAAGTTAGGTGCTGATGGGTGGGGCGAGTAGATAGCGCCGTGAAGGTCAGGGTGCTGATGGTGTGGCGAGGATAGGGTGTAAATGGTAGAGGTGCTGCATTTGGTGTTGCGAGGATAGGGTGAGGTAGGTGCTGATCGCGTGCCGGCGGGAAGATAGCGGTGAAGGTAGGCGTGCTGTTGGTGTGGCGAGGATAGGGGTGAAGTAGGTGCTGATGGTCATGTTTGGCGAGCGATAGGCGGTAAAGGTAGGGTGCTGCATGCGTGTTTGGACAGAGGATAGGGTGAGGTAGGGTTGCTGATGGTGTGTTGGTGAGGATAGGGTGAGCAATAGGGGCTGATGTAGGCGGACGGGGATAGGCGTGAAGGTAGGGTGCTGATTGGGCGGCCAGAGGATAGGATGAAGTAGGGTGCTGTGGTGTTGGCGAGGATGGGTGAGGTAGGGTTGCTAATTGGGTGGCGGCGGGAGTAGGTGAAGGCTTAGGGTGCTGATGGCGTTGGTGAGATGGGTAGAGTGGAATAGCTAAGATGAGTGGAACAGCAGCGGACGGAAATAGGGCGAAGATAAAGGAGCTGATGGTCGCGCAAGAGGATAGAGGTGAAGGTAGCCGGTGCTGATGCGTCGTTAGACACGAGATAGATAGGGTGAACATGGAATAGGGCTGCTGAGTTGGCCTGGTTAGGCACCGAGGATAATGGTGAAGCGGAGGGTGGCTGATTGGTGTTGGCGAGGGACTAGTGTGAAGTAGCGCGTGCTGATGGTGGCGGCGAGGAATAGGCGTGAAAGGTAGGGTGCTATGGTGGCGCGGATAGGGTGAACGGTAGGGTGCTGATGGCTGGGGGGCGTGGAGCATAGGCGTGAGTAGGGTGCTGATGTGTTTGGCGAGGATAGGGATGAAGGTAGGGTTGCTGATCGGTGCGGCGCAGGCATTAGGCATGAAGGTAGGGTGCTGATGGTGGTTGGCGAGGATGTAGGTGATAGGTCGGCTGCTGATGGTGGCGGCGGGACTAGGGTGAAGTTAGGGGCTGATTGGTGTTGGCGAGGTAGGGTGAAGGAGGCCGTGTCTGATGGTGCCGGCGGGAGGGAACTAGGCGTGAAAGGTAGGGTGCTTGATGGTGGCCGGCGAGGTGATAGGGTGAAGTTAGGGTGCTGATGGTGGCGGCCGGGGGATATGGGTGAAGGTAGGGGTTGCTGATGGTGTTTGGGAGGAATAGGGTGAAGGTAGGGTGCTGATTGGTGTTGGCGAGGATAGGGTGAAGGTAGGTGCTGATTGGTGTTGGCTGAGGATAGGGTGAAGGTAGGGTGCTGATGGTGCGGCGCGGGATAGGGTGAAGTGTGAAGGGCGTAGGGCAGGTGCTGATGGTGGTGCCGCGAGGATAGGGTGAAGGTAGGGTGCTGATGGTGTTGGCCGAGGATAGGTGAAGAGTAGCGGTGCTGATGGTGTTGGCGAGGATAAGGTGTGAAGGTAGGGTGTATTGCTGATGGTGGCGGCGGATAGGTGAAGGTAGGGTGCTGGTTGGTGTTGGCAGGATAGGGTGAAGGTAGGGTGCTGATGGTCTTGGTGAGGATAAGGTGAAGGTAGGGTGCTGATGGTGTTGGCGAGGATAGGGTGAAGGTAGGGTGCTGATGGTGGCGGCGGGGATAGGGTGAAGGTAGGGTGCTAATGGTGGCGGCGAGGATAGGGTGAAGGTAGGGTGCGATGTGGCGGCGGGGATAGGGTGAGGTAGGGTGCTGATAGTGTTGGCGAGGATAGGGTGAAGGTAGGGTGCTGATGGTGGCGGCGGGGATAGGGTGAAGGTAGGGTGCTGATGGTGTTGGCGAGGATAGGGTGAAGGTAGGGTGCTGATGGTGGCGGCGAGATTAGGGTGAAGGTAGGGTGCTGATGATGGCGGCGGGGATAGGGTGAAGGTAGGGTGCTGATGGTGGTGGCGAGAATAGGGTGAAGATAGTGTGCTGATGGTGGCGGCGGGGATAGGGTGAAGGTAGGGTGCTGATGGTGGTGGCGAGGATAGGGTGAAGGTAGGGTGCTGATGGTGTTGGCGAGGATTGGGTGAAGGTACGGTGCTGATGGTGGTGGTGAGGATAGGGTGAAGGTAGGGTGCTGATGGTGGTGGCGAGGATAGGGTGAAGGTAGGGTGCTGATGGTGTTGGCGAGGATAGGGTGAAGGTTGGGTGCTGATGGTGGTGGTGAGGATAGGGCGAAGGTAGGGTGATGGTGGTGGTGTTGAGGATAGGGTTAAGGTAGGGTGCTGATGGTGGTGGTGAGGATAGGGGGCTTATGGTGTTGGTGAGGATAGGATGCTGATTGTGAGGATAGGGTGCTGATGGTAGTGGTGAGGATAGGAGGCTGATGGTAGTGGTGAGGATATAGGGAAGGTAGGGTTCTTATTGTGGTGGTGAGGATAGGGTATTTATGGTGATGGTGAGGACAGGGTGCTGATGGTGGTGTTGAGGATAGGGTGTTGATGGTGGTGGTGAGAATAGGGTGTTGATGGTGGTGGTGAGGATAGGATGCTGATGTGTGGTGTGACAATAGGGTGCTGATGGTGGTGGTGAAAATAGGTGCTGAGGTGTGGTGAGGATAGGATGAGGATAGGGTGCTGATGGTGGGGGTAAGGATAGGGTGCTGATGGTGGTGGTGAGGATAGGATGAGGGTAGGGTTCTGATGGTGGGGGGTGAGGATAGGGTGCTGATGGTGGTGGTGAGGATAGGGTACTGATGATGGTGGCGTGGATAGGGGGAATGTATGGTGCTGGTGGTGTTGGTGAGGATAGGGTGCTGATGGATGTGGTGAGGATAGAGTATTTATGGTGGTCGGTGAGGATAGGTGCTGGATGATGGTGGTGAGGAATAGGGTGCTGATGGTGTGGTGAGGATAGGGCGCTGATGGTGTTGGTGAGAAATAGGTGCTGTTTGTGGTGGCTGAGTGATAGGGTGCTGATGGTGCTGTTGAGGAGGGTGCTGCTGGTGTTGAGGAAATAGGGTGCTGATGGTGAGGATAGGGCTGCTGATGGTGGTGGTGAGGATAGGGTGCTGATGGGTGGTGAGGATACGGTGCGGTGATGTTGAGGATAGGGTGCTGGGTGGTGGTGAGAGGATAGGGTGCTGGATGGTGGTGGTGATAGGGTGGATGGTGGTGGTGAGGTAGGGTGCTGATAGTGCTGTTTGAGGACAGGGTGCTGCTGCGTGTTGAAGGATAGGGTACTGATGGTGAGGATAGGGTGCTGATGGTGGTGGTGAGGATAGGGTGCTGATGATGGTGGTGAGGATACGGTGCTGATGGTGGTAGTTAGGATAGGGTGCTGATGGTGGTGGTGAGGATAGGGTGTTGATGGTGGTGGTGAGGATAGGGTGCCTGATGGTGGTGGTGAGGCAGAGGCTGCGTGATGGTGGTGGGTGAGGATAAGGATGATGATGGTGCTGTTGAGTGATATGCTGTGGTTGAGGATAGGGTGCTGATTGGTGAGGATAGGGTGCTGAATGGTGGTGGTGAAGATAGGGTTCTGATGGTGTGGTGAGGATATGGTGCTGATGGCTGGTGGTGAGCGATAGGGTGCTGATGGTGGTGGTGAGGATATGGAGATGGTGGTCTGTTTGAAGGATAGGGTGCTGATGGTGAGGATGGTTCTGATGGTGGTGGTGAGGATAGGGTGCTGATGGTGGATGGTGAGGATAAGGTGGATGAGGAGGGTGCTGATGGTTGTGGTGAGGATATGGTGGCAGATGGTGGTGTGAGGATAGGGTGCTGATGTGGTGGTGAGGATAGGGTGCTGATGGTGGTGGGTGAGGGATAGGTTCTGATGTGGGTGGTGAGGATGAGGGTGCTGACGGTGCGTGGTGGTGAGGATATGTGTGCTGATGGTGGTGGTGAGGATAGGGGTGCTGGATGCGATGCTGTTTGTGGACAGGCGTTGCTGGATGGTGTTTAGGATAGGTGCTGGTGTGTATGAGGATATGAGGGTTGCTGGCATGGGTGAGGATAGGGTGCTGATGGTTGGTCGTGACGATAGGGTGCTGATCGAGATGCTGTTGGTGGACAGGGGTGCTGGCTGGCTTGAGGGATAGGGTGCTGCTGGTGGTTGAGGATACGGGTGCTGATGGGGAGTGATAGGGTTGCTGCATGGGTGGTGTGAGTGTATTAGGGTTTTCTGATTGGTGGTGTGAGGATATCGGTGCTTGAGTGTCGGTGTGAGGATACGGGCTGCTGATGGTTGTGGTGAAGGATATGGTGCAGATTCGGTGGTGGTTGCGAGGACACGGGAGGTGCTGATGTGCTGTTGGGAAGGGTGGCTGCCTCGTGTTGAGGACTAGGGTGCTTGATGGTGTGAGGGATAGTGTGCTGATGATGGTGGTTAAGGAAGGGTGCTGATGGTGGCGTGGGGAGGTATACGGTGCTGATGGTGGGGTAGTTACGGAATATGGGTGCTGTAATGTGGTGGTGGTGAAGGATAGGGTCGTTGATGGTTGTGTGGTGTGAGGATAGGGTGCTGATGGTGCGTGTGAGGACACAGATTGCTGTGATTTCGGAGGCTGGTTGTGAGGATGTTATATGGGTGCTGTATGGTGGATGAGTGGAGGATATCCAGTAGTCTGGCGTGATGGTTCGGTTGGTGAGGATAGGTGCTGATCTTGTGGGTGTTAGGTACATGAGTGCTGATCGGTGGTGTGTGAGGAATCAGGTGCGATGATGGTTCTGTTGAGGATAGGAGTGCACTGCTTCGGTGTTGAGGATAGTGGTGGCTGAATGGTGAGAGTATAGGGTGCTGATGGGGTGTGTGAGGATAGGGGTTCTCGTGGTGGTGGTGGTGAGGAATCAGGGTGCTGATGGTGGTTGTGAGCGATCTAGGGTGCTGATGGTTGTGGTAGTGGAGTATTGGTTGCAGATGGTGGTGGTAAGAGATAGGGTGCTGATGGTGGAGGATAGGGTGCTGATGGTGGTGGTGAGGATGTGGGTGCTGATGGTGGGTGCTGATGTGGTGGCAATAGGGTGCTGATGGTGGTGGTGAGGATAGGGTGCTGAGGTGGTGGTGGATGGTGTGATGGGATAGGTGTGCTGATGGTGGTGGGTGAGGATAGGGTGCTGATATGGCTGTTGTGGAACAGGGTGCTGCTGGTGTTGAGGATAGGTGCTGCTGGTTGTAGGGATAGTGGTGCTGATGGTGAGGATAGGGTGTGTATGGTGGTGGTGAGGATAGGGTTCTGATGGTAGTGGTGAGGATACGGTGCTGATGGTGGTAGTGAGGATAGGGTGCTGATGGTTGTGGTGAGGATATGGTGCAGATGGTGGTGGTGAGGATAGGGTGATGCATTGATTGCTGTTGTTGAGGATGGGTGCTGCTGGTGTTGAGGATAGGGTGCTTGGTGGTGTGAGGATATACGGGTGTGATGGTGCTGAGGATAGGGTGCTGATGGTGGTGGTGAGGATATGGTGCTGATGGTGGTGGTTAGGATAGGGTGCTGATGATGCTGTTGTGGACAGGGTGCTGCTGGTGTTGAGGATAGGGTGCTGCTGGTGTTGAGGATAGGGTGCTGATGGTGAGGATAGGGTGCTGATGGTGGTGGTGAGGATAGGGTTCTGATGGTGGTGGTGAGGATACGGTGCTGATGGTGGTGGTGAGGATAGGGTGCTGATGGTTGTGGTGAGGATATGGTGCAGATGGTGGTGGTGAGGATAGGGGTGGCTGATTGAATGTTGTTTGAGGATAGGGTGCTGCTGGTGTCTGAGGATAGGGGTTGCTGATGGTGGGTGGTGAGGATAGGGTGCTGATGGTGAGGATAGGGTGGCTGATGGTGGTGGTGAGGATATGGGTTCTGATGGTGGTGGTGAGGAATATGGTGCTGATGGTGGTTGGTTAGGGATAGGGTGCTGATGATGCTGTTGTGGACAGGGTGCTGCTGGTGTTGAGGATAGGGTGCTGCTGGTGTTGAGGATAGGGTGCTGATGGTGAGGATAGGGTGCTGATGGTGGTGGTGAGGATAGGGTGCTGATGGTGGTGGTGAGGATACGGGGCTGATGGTGGTGGTGAGGATAGGGTGCTGATGATGTTATTGAGGACAGGGTGCTGCTGGTGTTGAGGATAGGGTGCTTCTGGTGTTGAGGATAGGGTGCTGATGGTGAGGATAGGGTTCTGATGGTGGTGGTGAGGATAGGGTGCTGATGGTGGTGGTGAAGATACGGTGCTGATAGTGGTGGTGAGGATAAGGTGCTGATGGTGGTGGTGAGGATATGGTGCTGATGGTGGTGGTGAGGATAGGGTGCTGATGGTGCTGTTGAGGACAGGGTGCTGCTGGTGTTGAGGATAGGGTGCTGATGGTGAGGATACGGTGCTGATGGTAATGATGATATGGTGCTGATAGTGGTGGTGAGGATAGGGTGTTGATGGCGCTGTTGAGGACAGGGTGCTGCTCAGATTGAGGATAGGGTGCTGATGGTGAGGATAGGGTGCTGGTGGTGGTGGTGAGGATAGGGTGCTGATGGTGGTGTTGAGGATAGGGTGCTGATGGTGGTGGTGAGGATAGGGTGCTGATGGTGGTGGTGAGGATATGGTGCTGATGGTGGTGGTGAGGATAGGGTGTTGATGGTGGTGGTGATGATAGGGTGCTGATGGTGGTGGTGAGGATAGGGTGCTGATGGTGGTGGTGAGGATAGGGTGCTGATGGTGGTGGTGAGGAGGGTGCTGATGTGGTGGTGAGGATATGGTGCTGATGGTGGTGGTGAGGATTGGGTGCTGATGGTGGTGGTGCGGATAGGGTGCTGATGGTGGTGGTGAGGATAGGGTGCTGATGGTGGTGGTGAGGATAGGGTGTGATGGTGGGGGTGAGGATAGGGTGGTGAGGATAGGGTGAAGGTAGGGTTCTGATGGTGGTGGTGAGGATAGGGGGAAGGTTGGGTTCTGATGGTGGTGGTGAGGATAGGGGGGAGGTAGGGTGCTGATGGTGGGTGGTTGAGGATAGGGGTGCTGATGGTGGTGGTGAGGATAGGGTGCTGATGGTGGTGGTGAGGATAGGGTTCTGATGGTGGTGGTGAGGATAGGGTGCTGATGGTGGTGGTGAGGATAGGGTGCTGATGGTTGTGGTGAGGATAGGGTGCTGATGGTGGAAGTGAGGATATTGTGATTATAGTGGTGAGGATAGGGTGGTAATGGTGGTGAGGATAAGATGGTTGTGGTGAGGATTTGTTGATGATGGTGGTGGTGAGGCTATGATGCTGATGATTATATGATACTGACCTTGTTGTCATGTTGATTGCGATGGTATGATAGTGATGTGGTGGTGATAACGAAATGGCATGATGCTGAAGATTGTGGCGATGGTGGTGATGTGATGATGGTGATGGTGGTATGGACATGATGCTATAATGCTGGTAGCGATGTTTATGATGGTGATGATGATTGTGTTAATATGATTCTTTGGTTGGTCATGATATGCTAATAATGATGGTGATGATATGCTGATTTTGGTAGTGATGACAGGATGATGGCGTGATGGATGATGGTGGTGGTGATGACATGATGATGGTGGTGGTGATGACATGATGAATGTGGTGGTGCACTGATATGCTTCTGATAAAGTTAGTGACGATGGTGCTCTTGGTAATGAAATTATAATGGTGGTGGTAATGACAATGCTGATGATATAATGCTGAATCGTGGTGGTGTTGATGCCTTGATGGTGTTGGTATTGATATGATGCTGATGACGGTGGTGATGATATAATGATAATGATATAATGCTGATGGTGGTAGTGCTGCCATGATGCCTTAGTGGCGGCGGTGACTATGCTCTGGCGGCAAGGTTAGAGCGAGCCGCCTCGCGCCCGGCAACCGCTTGCCAATAAATATTGACCCAAAAAGAGAGAGAGAAAGAAATTTTTTTATATCGATCCTCTGGTAATTAATATCCTTGCATTAGCGGCCAAAGAAAAACGCGGTTTTTAGTAGTTATGTGAAAAAGGAATAGGGGAGGAAGAAAGAGCGAACGAGAAGGAAATAGGAATTGATAAAGAGAGAAAAAGAGCAGCAGTAAAGAAATTTTAGATAAAAAGGGCAAATGAGATGTAAATCTAGATAACTATTGAAATTCTATTTCTATATTCAATGTATATACTATAAAGGGAACGATAACACAACAATAACGAAAAACTAAAAATCAGATTTTGACATACATACAGGAAACCTACCTGTAAAAAAGAATGATTTTATAATTTATCCAGTAATTATAGCAGATTATAATAATTGATAAGTAAAAATGCTAATGCTGATTTTGAGAAAGAACGGAAGAATTGATAATAGATAATGAAAAGATGAAGATGGCATATCAAGGCTAATTCACACAAGCCTAAGCTATTATTTTCTTTGTGTTTATCAAGTCTGCCCAAATAGGGAAGAGCGCACTGCTCGCATGTGAGTAAGCTGCTGGACCTGTTGACGAGTGAGGCGAGGACTGTGGCCTCGCGCGCTGAATATTACGAGACCCAACGGAGCTGTTCGCTGGAGCGCTTAAAAGATAAATGTGATTCTGCCTGATTTTCGAAATGTGTGGCGCATGATCAGTCGCTTCATATGTAATAAAAAGTTAATACGATGTTTATCTGCTAAAAATGTAGAGCTGGATATGGCATTCATTCCAAGCACGCCTCACTGCAACGCGAGAACGACGCTCAAGTTTTCCGGAGGATGAGATGAATCTGCTGCGCCTGTCTGTCGGAAAGGTGCCGCGGGAAGGCGGGATTTCACCTCCCTCTGTGCGCGCAGAGAAGATGCGAGCGAAACGGGCTAGATTCAGACACAAATTAAACGTATGGCAGTAGCAAAGGGCGCGGAAATTCAGTCTTATTGATATGTATTATACAGTCGAAAGATAGGGATAAAAAAATCGATTATATATATATATATATATATATATATATATATATATATATATATATATATTATATATATATATATATATATATATATATATAATATATATATATATATATATATATATATATATATATATATATATATATATATATATTATATATATATATATTGAGTCAGGATGAAACATTTTTGTTATAAATTGCTAGCAGGTACTGAAACCATAAACTCGTAAGCTGTTAAGTGTATTGAATTGCAAGAGAACGTTTTCAACTGTTGATTTTCAGTAGAGATTTTGTAAAGCCTCTATCGCTGTGTTTGCGAGTGAACATTTTTCTACATATTTCTCTTTGGACGTTTTTCAGTGTCTCTCCTCTTATGCATTTCTCTTCCTTTATGGATCTCCTTTCAACGTGCATTATATATTACTGTAATCATACCAACAGCCTCTCTAAACCTGAAATCTTTGATACGTGACTGTCCATACCCGTTTTTATATATCTCTTAACCATTAAATGTAAATATTTGCCTAACTATTGACTTAGCTATATAAAGAAAGAATACGCACCCATACCTATATGGCAACGGGTGAGCATCCACCATTGACTGGTGTCAATCATCCCTTTAATGAGCTTTTGGGTGTGGGTGTGAGTGCCCAAAGGTATGGCTGGGGTGCTGGAGATCGCCCGGAAGAGCCGGGGCGGCTCACCCGTCGGCTAAGGCCTGGGTAGGCCTTGTTGCTGCTGGCTGTCTTGCTCGGCTGGAGGATCGTGAGTGCTGAACTCGAGATAAGACAAAGAAAAGGAGAGAATCTACATTCTCATAAAAAATAGATCATGAAGAATAAAGATAGTAGCTAGCTACCTAAAGTGAAATATTACTAGGAGACATATGAAAGATGGGGGGGACGTAGCCCCGTGCTGGCCATAATGTGGAGTGTATTTGTTTTGAGCGACTGTATAGTACCATTATATACTTCATTTTTGGTTCGGTAAGGCCCGCTGTTTGGGTTGGGTGGTAGGTCTTAGTAGGAGTGATAGCAAAGTCGATGGGGGTGTCTATTACACTTTCTTATTAAATATGATTTTGGCTAAGTCCTTGGGGACGCTACATTGGTACATATCATGTTATGTATATAAGTATAATAAAATATAAATGCGGTTACTTCGCGCCGACGGTTTAACATTGCCTTAAGAGCCGCGAGGTTTATCTAACGCATTTATTTATTTATTATGATTAATATTATTATTATTATTATTATTATTATTATTATTATTATTATTATTATATATATATATATTATTTTTTATTTTTTATTATTTCTATTTATTTATTATTATTTATTTATTTATTATTATTATTGTTTATTTATTTTTTTATTATTATTTTTTTCTTTTTTCCTCGCCCACCAGGTTAACATCGCGGGAGGACCGCGAAGTTAACCCATAGCAGGTGAGACCCTCGCCTGCCTCCCCTGTGGCTCCCAGAAGTCACAGGGGGGGTTCAGTGGGTCTCTTTTTTTTTTTTTTTTTTTTTTACAATCATAGTCATGCATTCGTCTGTATCAACTGGTTACGCATTGATGCGCATGTAGTTGAATTTCTTTAATTCATATTCATATACTCATTCATTCTTTTATTTAGAGTTTTTGCGCTTGTCCTTCTGCATCTATCAGGTAAGTGACAGCGTTATGCAGTCACCCTTTCAGGTGAGTTTATATCTTCAGGTAAGTGTCTTGGTTTGTAGATTCTAATTAGTATTTTCTTATGGTGATGTTCATTGCATTTCTGCACGACTACAGCTTCGCATCTGCCATCGGCAATTGGCAGGAGCGAAGCCATAGTCGTGCAGTGGAGCCATATTCCTCTCCCTCTTTCCCGAACTCCCTTTGGGAGAGAAGGAGAGGCTGAGATGGTCATACTCTTTAATCTAAACGTGTTTGTTATTATCTGTTTATATTTTATGGATATGTTGAGTTTTGCTTCGTATTGTTACCTGTTTGTCCTGGAGTAAATTGGTTCAGGGAGGTTTTCTCTTATTCTGGTTAGGCTTCTTGGCCACCAGCGATGTTCTCCTTCCGTGTTCAGATGGGCTGTTTTTATTTGTTCATAGTTTACGTCTTCTGTGTATTCTAATCGGTCCCAGGTTCTTTCTGCCATTCTGCATATGCGGGTGTTAATGGGTTCTAGATTGTAGGATGTGTGCAGCTCTCTTATTGAGGGACGAGGGTTTGGCCATCTTGCACAATTTATCCATAGAATGGCTTTGTTTTGGATGGCTTGGAGGATATACCACGAGGACTGTGCAATGGTATTTAAGGGAACTGGTGGGTATTCTAGTATAGGTCTGACCAGTGCTTTATATAATCGGAGTTTGACTTCCTCAGGGTATTCTCTAGTTGCCCTGAGGAAGTCAAACGCTTTAGACTTATTAGGGTGCTCCCAGCTATCTTGGATCTTTCTTTTACGTGGGTTATTTTTCCACTTATTAGNCGCGCGCACACCTGCCGACGTCGAGAGAGCGAAGGTCAGCCCGGCCGCTCCGGTGTCAAAGGTCAAAGGTCAGGGTTGACTTTTGTGGCCAGCGGGTGCATTATGCATAAAGGTCACGCTTGGCCGAGGGGGGGAGGGTAGGGGGGGGCGTGAGGGGGAGAGGGAAGGGAGTCCGACGCTTTCGAGGGGGGTCGCGTCTCGTGTGGACACGCTGGAGGCCGGGGTGTGTTGTGGGTGGGTGGGGGGCGAGGGGAAGGGTAAAGTCGGTGCCAGGGGTTAGGGTGTTAGGGGGGGGGGGGGAGGAGGGAGGGGGGAAGTGGGGGCGTGACGGGGGGTAGAGGGACAGTGGCAGGAGGGGAAAGGGAAGGGAAGGGATTGGGGATTGGGGGCTTTAAACGTACCCCTTCAAGACGAAAGCGAGACATGACTTGCTCAAAGTGTGTCAGGAACGCCAGGGACACCCAGCCACACTCACCTCCTCGTCAGGACACAAGGACACGCGCAGGTCGGGTCCCACGCATCCCTTCTCGGAGTTCTTGGGGGCGGGATGTTGCAGGGGCGCCGGGACACCTGCCAGCCTGCAATAGGACGATTGCAAAGGGATGTTGCAAGAAATAGGGGTGGTAGGTGGGTGGATGGATGGAGGAAGAGCGAAGAGGGAGGGAGAGAAGAGGAAGAGAGGGAAGAGGGAGGGAGGATGAGAGCGAGAGAGAGAGAGAAGAGAGAGAGGAGAGAGAGAGAGAGAGAGAGAGAGAGAGAGGAGAGAGAAGAGGAGAGAGAGAGAGGGAGGGAGGGAGAAGAGAGAGAGAGAGAGAGAGAGAGAGAAAAGAGAGAGACAGAGACAGAGAGAGAGAGAGAATGGGAGAATGTAGTTTTTATATAATATGATGTATATAGAATAGATAAATAGATAGAATAGTTAAGATAGATAGAAGATAGATATAGATACATACATAGGACAACACACACACACACACACACACATAAACACACAACTTACAACACACAACACACATAGATCGTGAGAGAAGGAAAAAAGAAATCAAAGCACACAATCCGTAAAAAAAAAAGACCCCACCAAAAACACTAACGCAATAAGCAATTGACTAACCCAAACAGGAAAATGAGATGATATTATGTGACATGACAAATGATATGTTGTACAATAAGGATGAAAATAACATTTATGACAAATTAGGAATGACGTGACAAAATTGAAAGTGACAATATGACAAATAAACTGTGACAAGAAAAATGAAATTGCATTATTATGAACAGACACTTACAACAAACTACCCCCTCCCCCAAAAAATATGACAAAATAAAATAATAATAATAATAATAACAATAATAAAATAATAATAATAATAATAATAATAATAATACAATTAAAAATGACAACGGACAAAAAATGATAATAATAATAACAATAATAATAATAATAATAATAATAATAATAATAATAATAATAATAATAATAATAGAATTTTAAAAATGACAACGGACAAAATAATGACAGTACCCTAAAAGAAATCTTAAAAAAAACAATAACTACAACTCTCTCTCTCTCCCCTCTCTCCCTCCTCCTTCTGCCTCTCCCTCTCCCTTCCTCTCCCTCCCTCCTCTCCCTCCCTCCCTCTCCTTCTCTCCCTCCCTCCTCCCTCTCCCTCTCCTCCCACCCTCCCTCTCCCTCTCCCTCTCTCTCCCTCCCTCCCTCCCTCCCTCTCCTCCCTCCCTCCCTCCTCCCTCCCTCCCTCCCTCTCCCTCCCTCCCTCCCTCTCCCTCTCCTCTCCCTCCTTCTCCCTCCCTCTCCTCCCTCCCCTCCCCTCTCCTCCCTCCTCTCCCCTCTCCCTCCCTCTCCCTCTCCCTCCCCTCCTCCCCCACCCACCCTCCCTCCTTCCTGCTTCCCACCCACCCTCCCTCCCCCTCCCTCCCCTCTCCCTCCATCTCCCTCTCCCTCTCTCTCTCTCTCCAACCTACGTTCTCTCCGCCGCAGTGTGTGCCCTCTAGCGCCGGTCCAGCCAAACTGACAGAGATCCGATGGGGAGACACGCAGCTCACCGATTCACACACTTCCTGGGGGGATACGTGTACATAATTAATAATGTAAACAAAGGCAAGTGTAAGAAAATGACAATTATACGGGAATTGTAAGAAAAAATTATAATCATGCTGATGCGTGTACATAATTAATAATGTAAACAAAGGCAAGTGTAAGGAATAAAAGATAATAGTAAGGGAAGTGTAAGAAAAGAGGATAATAATACGGGAACTGTAGGAAGAAAGGATAATAGTAAGGGAATTGTAAAAATAAAGGATAAAGATGTGGGAATTGTAAGAAAAAAGGATAATAATAGGGGAATTGTAAGAAAAGAGGATAATAATAGGGGAATTGTAAGAAAAAAGGATAATAAAGCGGGAACTGTAAGAAAAGAGGATAATAATAGAAGAATTGGGAGAAAAACGGATAATAATACGGGAACTTTAAGAATAAAGGATGATAATAGGGGAATTGTATGAAAAACGGATAATGATACGGGAACTGTAAGAAAAAAAAAGATATTAATAAGGGAACTGTAAGAAAAAAGAATAATAATACGGGAATTGTAAGAATAGAAGATAATACGGGAACCAAATGAAGAAATATAAGAACGTGTAAGTAAGAGAGAAGGCTGATAAACGCCGGAACATGTGAACGGACAATACAAAACCGTGTGAATAAGAAAAGGCAATAATACAAGAACATACAAAAAAGAAATAAAACATCACCTAAAAAGGAAAAAAAGGAAAATACAAAAACTATAGCAACACGGAAGAGAAAAAGAGACAAACAAACAATAACAAAAGGAAAACGAGCGCAAAACATTTTTACGCATTTTATTTTTTGTTTTGCTTTTTATTTTTTTGTTTTGTTCTGTTACTCTTGTGTTTTATTGTCCGCGCGACACAGCACAGCCATTGCGAAGGTTAATGGTCGACAATTTTTGTTAAAAAGGGAGAGAGAATATTTATCCCATGTCCTAGAGGAGCTGCATGATATTGGCAAGTCTGTGATTTATTGCTGAAATAACTTGCGTCCATTTTTTTTTCCTTTTTTTTCTGTTGTCCTATCCTCTGTTCTTATTTATTTTTCTCGTCCTTTTTCTTTTCTATTCTGTTGTCCTATCCTCTGTTTTTATTTATTTTTCTCGTCATTTTCTTCTTATTTATCTGTTGTCCTATCCTCTGTTTTTTTCTTATCCTTTTCCTTTTTTTTAATCTGTTGCCCTATCTCTGTTCTTATTTATTTTTCTCTTTTACAACGCAATTATATATGTATATTCGTGTTTTTCTTTTTTTTTTTCTTTGCATATATTCGTGTTTTTGTGTGTGTGTGTTATGCTTTGTTATGTAGATATTTGTTGACTTGGCGTGGGAAATAAATAGAAGGTATGTGGTGTGGATATGTAGTGTATGTGGTGTGGATATGTGGTGCATGTGGTGTGGATATGTAGTGTATGTGGTGTGGATATGTAGTGTATGTGGTGTGGATATGTGGTGTGTATATGTGGTGGCGTGGATATGTAATGTATGTGGCGTGGATATGTAATGTATGTGGTGTGGATATGTAATGTATGTGGTGCATGTGGTGTGGATATGTGGTGTAATGTGGTGTCATGTGGTGTGGAATGTAATATGTAATGTATGTGGTGCATGTGGTGTGGATATGTGGTGTATGTGGTGTGGATATGTAATGTAGTGGTGCATGTGGTGTGATATGTGGTGTATGTGGTGTGGATATGTAATGTATGTGGTGCATGTGGTGGATATGTGTAGTGGTGTGGATGTAATGTATGTGGTGCATGTGGTGTGGATATGTGGTGTATGTGGTGGATATGTAATGTATGTGGTGCATGTGGTGTATATGTGTATGTGGTGTGGATATGTAATGTATGTGGTGCATGTGGTGTGGATATGTGATGTGGGGGCGTAGATCATATGTCTCGCAGCTGCAATCTTCGGGCTGCAAGAAGCAATCTCTCTCACAATATTTATGTGTGTGAATCTATGACTATCTATCTATATACATCCTTACATACATGCATATATTCATGTGTGTGTGTGCGGGTGTGTGTGTGAGTGTGTGTGTGTGTGTGTGTGTGTGTGTGTGTGTGTGTGTGTGTGTGTGTGTGTGTGTGTGTGTGTGTGTGTGTGTGTGTGTGAGTGAGTGAGTGAGTGTGTGAGTGAGTGAGTGAGTGAGTGAGTGAGTGAGTGAGTGAGTGAGTGTATGAATGAATGGGTGAGTGAATGTGTGTGTGTGTGTGTGTGTGTGTGTGTGTGTGTGTGTGTGTGTGTGTGTGTGTGTGTGTGTGTGTGTGTGTGGTGTGTGTGTGTGTGTGTGTGTGTGTGTGTGTGTGTGTGTGTACGTGCGTGTGTGTGTGTGTGTGTGTGTGTGTACGTGCGTGTGTGTGTGTGTGTGAGTGTGTTGAGTGAGTGAGTGAGTGAGTGAGTTGTGAGTGTGAGTGTGTGTGTGTGTGTGTGTGTGTGTGTGTGGTGTGTGTGTGTGTGTGTGTGTGTGTGTCTGTGTGTGTGTGTACGTGCGCCTGTGTCTGCGTTCATGTAAATAACTTCTCAAAAATATGAAAGCCGGTACTATATCAAACCAATTTATTATTCCCAATAAATATTTTTTTTCTTTCCCTTGAAAATTAATTATGACTGACTATCTCTTCCATTTTATATAAATGGTGCGGAAATATTGACATAGCGAGCGGGAATTTCGTCTCTAAAATATTATCATTTTTTTCCATTTTACTTCAGTTGAATCCTCTATGTACAAGCTTTGATTAATCGTTCAAACTTAATTCCAGGTATTGGTATAAATCACAAAAAAAAGAAACAAAGGTTTTGGTATAAAAGATAAATAAATAAATAAATAAAACCAGCCTCCAGCCTACACCTGTTTCCTACAGGTTTTGGTATAAATAAATAAAAAAAGAACCAACACACAGGTTTTGGTATAAAAAAAAATAATAATAAAAATATATATAGAACCAGCCTACACCTATTTCCTACAGGTTTTGATATAAATAAATAAATAAATAAATAAAACTAGACTTCACATACTTCCTACAGGTTTTGGTATAAATAAATAAATAAATCCAGCCTACACATATCAGGCTACACCTATTTCCTACAGGTTTTTGGTATAAATAAATAAATAGATAAATAAAACCAGCCTACAATACTTCCTACAGGTTTTGGTATAAATAAATAAATAAATAAATAAAACCAGCCTACACCTATTTCTTGATACCACTAACTACACAAAATAAAAGAAAAAAAATCTTTCTTGCTATACCTCACATCTGCAACATTAAACGATCTAACGATATTCTCTACGTTATATTGCACAGGTTGCAGAGAATAAGCGGCAGGTTGTTCGTCACTGTGTTGCCGATAAGGGCGATATTCTCGGCTCATTTTGCAAGACACTATATCACTGTCTGGATCGGATCCTGTCCTGGGGAAAATGGTCTTGTGTGTTATCGTTGGCCGGTTTAAGGTCTTTGTGAATAAAAAATGGTGGTGGTGGTGGGGGTACACACACACACACACACACACACACACACACACACACACACACACACACACACACACACACACACACACACATACACACACAACAAACATAAACACACACACACACACACACACCACACACACACACACACACACACAACACACAATACACACAAACACAGACACACACACATAACACACACAACATACACACACACCAAACACACAACACACAACACACAACACAGCACACAACACAAACACACAACTCCACACACACATACACACAACACACACAACACACGCACCCCCCCCCATTCATACCCCATCTCCCAAAACACCAACCAAATCCACCCTCTCCCTCTTCGAACACCCAAACCCTCACTAATTACCCCCCCCCCCCTTTCGCACCAGCTGGAGATACCTGTACACTCTCTCCTCTGTAGACCAAAATATCCCCTTTCTCTACAGGAAGCACAACTCGCCACCCGTTCTATCTATAGCCTGTGTGTGTGGGGGGAGGGGGTTAATCAGCGCAGCGTCCGTGCTACCTACACCTACACCCAAGACCTGATATCCGGGTATCCCATTCACAGCACGTTCATTCTGGGGAAAAAAAAACCCTTTCATTCACGAGGGATGATTGGCTCTTTCTGTGGGGAGGGAGGGGGGGAGAGGGGGGGGGAGGGGGGGAGGGGGATGGTATATGAGAGCTATATTTGTCTGTAATGTATTTTTTTTTATAGTGAGGTTTATGTACTTGTGTATTTAATGTTTTTTTGTTCGAGGGGGAAAATTGATTTCGGGATTGATAACGAAACGCGGTGTGCGTTGTCCGTAGACCTTTGTAGCTTTGTGAGAAGGATATATATATATATATATATATATATATATATATATATATATATATATATATATATATATATATATATATATATATATATATATACATATATATATATATATATATATACATATATATATATATATATATATATATATATATATATATATATATATATATTTATATAGAGAGAGATAGAGCGCAAAGCAGATAGGCAGAAAGAAACAGACTGACAATAATAAAATAAGATAAACAAAACTAAAGTATTAATCTAAAATAAATAAACAAAATAAATAAAACAGGAACTAACGTGTATCCTGGACACATTCTCCATCTTGGCATCGGCGTCCTTGAGGAAGAGTTGGCACTGGGCGGTGGCATCCCAGCGCTGTCCGGGAAGACCCCCGAAGGAGCTGTGGTCCCAGGCCTGCTCCCCGACGTCGCCGCCTTCGCTTAGGCACGCGCCCCTGCAGGTAGGAAGGAGGGGGGGAGGGTGAGGGGAGAGGGAGGAGGGGGTGGGAAGAGGGGAAGGGAGGGGAGGGGGAAGGAAGAAGGGGGAGGGGTAGGGAATGGGTAGGAAAGGGGAGGGGAGGGGAACGAAGGAAGACGGGAGAGGGGAAAGGAGGGGAGGGGGAGGGAGGGGGAGGGGAGAGGAGGGGAAGGGGGAAGGAAGAAAGGCAAGGGCAGGGCATGGCCAAGGTAGGGTAGGATAAGGTAGGGCAGGGCAGGGTAGGGTAAGGTTTGTTGGTTAATGAAGTGAATTCTATCAACCACTCTATCTATGTACATCAACCCAGTTCAACCTCAGAATTCTACCTATTAACCTATCTACCACTCTATTATGGCTTTTCAATTCTACTAACTTATCTACCATATAATCAACCCTTTTTCACACACACCCTATCTACTTATCTGTCAATCTACCACTCCCTTTGTTCATCATTCTACCAGTTTAGTTATCTACCAAGCAGTTTATCTACCACTGATTCCTTTTCAATCCCTCCTTTTCCGGAGTCTACCACTCTATCTACCCTTCACACCCCTCCCCCAAATTCTACCAACCACTCTATCTATCCCTCCCCGTTCCCGCTTCTCGACTCCTCCTCTCCCTTCCCCCTCTCTCTCCCTTCCTCCCCCTCTCCCTTCCCTCTCCCTCTCCCCTCTCTCCCCTTTCCTCTTCCTCTACCCTTCCTCCCCTATCCCCTTCCCCTTCCCCTTCCATTCCTCTATCCCTCTCCCTCCCTCCCCCTCTCCCCTTCCCTCTTTCCTCTCTCCCTCTTCCTTCCCCCCTCCCTCCTTACCACCTCCCTCCCCCTTCCCTCTCCCCTCTCTCCATCCTCCTTCCCCTTCCCTCCCTCCCTCCCCCTCTCCTCCTCCTCTTCCTCTCTCCCTCTCCCCTCTCCCCCCTCCCTCCCTCCTCCTCCCCAATCCTCCCTCCCTCCTTCCCTCTCTCCTTCCTCTCCCATCCACCCCCAACTTACTGCTGCTGCTGAAATCTTCTCCCTGGCGCACGGAGACCATGTGGTGGCGCCTCTAAGACCTCTGCGGCGGCCATGATGAAACCGTTACGATCGCACGTGTTCGAAACCCCGTCGTGGCGAAGACCTAGGCTTTAGGGGGGAAAGACGGGGGAGGGTTAGAGTGTGTGGGGTGGTATTTGGGGGGGGGGGTTGAGGGGTTTGGGGGGTTGTGGGTAGGAGGGTGTGGGTGTATGTGGGAAGGGGGGAGATGGGTGGGGTTGTTTTTTGGGTGGGGTAGGGTAGGGGGTGTGAGATGGGGATGTGGGTAGGTGTTTGTGTTTTGTTTGTGTGTTTGTTTGTGTGTGTGTGTGTTTGTATGTTGTGCTGGCGTGTGTGAGTGAGTGTCTATGTATTTGACCATCTAGGTGTGACTATGTGTTTATTCTGTTATCATTTCTCAACATAAGTATGTACACACATACACACACACGCACGCACGCACACACACAAACACACACACACACACACACACACACACACACACACACACACACACACACACACACACACACACACACACACACACACACACATACACACACTACCAACCTTATAAATCAAAGTTAATCAAAGCCAACAACCAACGCATTCGAACTCACAACATTCGCAAAGAAAACGACGAACTCCTTTGCTTCGCGCCGGCCTCACCTGTGTCCGATTTCGTGCGCGAGGACGTAGGAACTCAGAGCTCCTGCCGAAGGATATGGGCGGCCCCTGTAATCGACGACGCCCAATTCGTTGATAAGACAGCTGAGGGCGGGCTTGCAGACGCCGCCCGTGTACGCCAGGCCCATCGTGACGCCGTTCTCAGATCCGTCGTCGTTTTTGACGTAGAAATTCAGTCTGGAAAAGCAGCAGGTTGGGAATGTCGGAATGGGCTGGAATGGGTTGGAATGGGCTGGAATTCCGGTTTGGATGGGAACGAGGGGTTGGAATTTCTCTTGAGGAAGTAAGTGCATTTTCTTTTTTCTTTTTTCTTTCTTTATTTCTTCTTTCTTTCTTTCTTTTTTTTTTTTTTTTTTTTTGAGTGGGAATTCGTCTGGACCTTACTGGAATTTCGACTTTAATGGGAATGGGAATCTGAAGGGAATTTTCAAGTCAGTAGGAATGTCGTTTATGGAATACACTGAAATTTTAGTCTGGACGTGAATTCAGTCTGGAATTTCAGTCTGGAAAAAAAACATTCAAGATTGGGAACTTTCTAGGAATTCAGTTTGGAAAAAAAATTCTGAGCGTGTCAGTCTGGAATGTTGGTTAAGGGAATTTAAGCCTGGAATTTCAGTCTGGTAGGTCAGTCTGGGAAAATGAGAATTTTTTTTCCCGGGGGGGGGGGTGAGAATGCTAGAATGAATCCGCGTGCCAGAGGAAATATTTTGGAACTGTCAAATATGTATGGATTTCTTCTCTCTCTATCTACCTATCTCTCTATGTCTATCTGTTTATCTATTTACCTACCTACCTATCTGTCTCTTTTTCTCTTTCCATTTCCTCCCTTCCTATCCTTTCTCGCTCTCCCTAAACCCCTTTCCCATCCCCCATTCCCCCTCCCACCCTGTCCCAACCCCCTCCCTCATCCCCACCACCCTCTCCCTCCCCTACCCCCTCTCTCTATCCCTCTCCCCCATCCCTCCATTCCTCTCTCTCCCTAACCACCCACCCTCCTCTCTCCCTCCCTCTCCCCCTTCCCCTCCACTCTCTCTCCCCCTTCCCTCCCCCTCTCCCCTCCTCCCATCCCTCCCTTCCCCTCCCTCCTCCCCCTACCCCTCCCTCTCCCTTCCTCCCCATCCCCACCCCACACCCCACTACCCAGACAAGTAGACCCCGATATCCCAATGCTCGGGGTTGGCATCATCGGGGTCGTTGTTCCTCCTGCTGTAGTCGCAGAAGGCCTTCAGGAGCTTGATCCGCTCGCCGTCGAAGGTAGGGAGGTCCTCCGGCTGCGTGTACAGGAGGCGCAGGTGGCTTATGGTGAGGTCCACCTGCCGGCCGAGGGAAGGGTGGCGGTACAGGGCCTGGACCTGTGAGGAATAGAAGGTGGTGATTGGGGTTGGGGGGTTTAAGTGTGTGCGGGGGTGGGGGTGGGAGGAGGGGTAAAAGTGTTTTTTTAAGTGGTGTGTGGGGGGGAGGGGGGTAAAAGTTTTTTTTTAAGTGGTGTGTGGGGGGAGGGAGGGGGTAAAAGTGTTTTTTTTAAGTGGTGTGTGTGTGGGGGGGTAAGTTTTTTTTTAAGTGAGGGGAGGTTGAAAGGTAAAGGGTTTTAAAGGGAGAGGGTTGAGAAGGGAAGGGGTTAAGAGGTTTTAAGTGGAGTTAAAATTAAAGGGTTTTAAGAAGATGGAATTAAGTGATCAAAAGGGTTTTTAAGTGGAGGGGGTTAGATGGGGTTAAGAGATTTTAAGTAGGTTTTAAGTGGAGGAGGTTAAGGGGTTAGAGGATTTTAAGTGGAGGAAGTTAGGGTTTTAAGTGAAGGAATTAAGGGGTTAAATGGTTTTAAGTGGAGGAGTTTAAGGGGGTTAAAGTGGTTTTAAGTGAAGGGTGTTAAGTGGTTAAAGGGTTTTAAGTGGAAGGGGTTGGACGAGAATGGTAGAATTTTAAGTGGGTTTTAAGAGGACAAGTTAAGGTTTTTTGGGTTAGGTGGGTTAAGGGGGGGGGGTTGGACCTGTACTGAAGGTGGGTGGGTGAACTTTTAAGTGGGTTGGGGTTGGGTTGAAGGGTTAGAGGGGGGGGTTGGGAAGGTCAGAGTTCATGTGTATATGTTATCTATTTCTCTATTTCTTTGTTATTATTATAATCATTTCTTTGTTATCATCATTTCTTTGTTATCATTATTATTATTTTCTGTTATTATTATTTTTTTTATTATTATCATTATGTTTTGTTATTCTGATCATCATTTCTTTGTTATCATCATTTTTTATATTATCATCATAATTTCTTTGATATTATTATAATTATTTTTTTTGTTATCGTCATCATAATTTCTTTGTCATCATCATTATTTCTTTCTTATCATCATCATCATCGTTTCTTTCTTATTATCATCATCATTATTACTTTCTTATTATCATCATCATCGTTTCTTTCTTATTATCATCATCATTATTACTTTCTTATTATCATTATCATCGTTTCTTTCTTATTATCATCATCATTATTCTTTTCTTCTTATCATAATCATCGTTTCTCTCTTATCATCTTTCTCATTATTCCTTTGTTATTATGCGCGTATGACCCTTGTGCCTAAACAAGTAACTTCGAAAATTGCCGTAACGGGAACCACTCGAGTAAAAAAAAGAAAGAAAGAAAGAAAGAGAGAAAGAAAGAAAAGAAAGAAAGAAAAAACGAAAAAAAAGAAGGAAAACAGGAAAAAAGAAAAGAAAGAAAGAAAAAAAAGATAAAAGAAAAGAAAAAAACAAGAAAGAAAGGAAAAACAAGAAAGAAAGAACAAAGAAAACAAAAAAGAAAAAAGAAAAAAGAAAAACAAGAAAAGAAGAACAAAGAAAAAAGAAAAAGAAAAAAGAAAAAAGAAAAATGAAAAAATCAAGGAAAAAAAAGAAGGAAAGAAAACAAGAAAAAAAAACACGTTGGTTCGCTTCAAGTGTGTGTGTTGCCCTGGGTACTTATTGCCTCCGTTGACCTCTGCATATTGCGAGGTCAAACAGGTTTCTTTTGCCTCCTACTGTACGTGTGTACTTGCTTGTATGCACGCGTGTACAGGGAGAGAGAGGCACGGAGATGTATGTGTAAATGTAGGTATGCGTGGGTGTATTTGGACATGTATACGGGTATATGTGAAGATATTTTTATATTTGTAGATTTATATAAGAATGCACTATTGTAAATATATACACAGATACGCACAAACACATACACACACACATGCAAGCACACACACACGCACGCACACACACACACACACACACACACACACACACACACACACCACACACACACACAGCACGCACGCACACACCACACACTCGCGCACACAACACACACTTACATAACCCATTCCCACGTACATTCACGCATACACACAACATACACACACCTACATACACAACGCGCCTCCCACCCAAAACATACATAACATCTAAACACACACATAACAACACCACCACCATGCAGCACACTTTACACTTCACACATACTTATTACACTACACTTCCCTTGCCACTTTACACTTCGCACCTCACACTTCAAATTCTACACCACACATCACACTTCACATTACATTTCAAACTTCATACTTCACATTCTACACTTCCCACCTCATTTCATATTACAGTTCCCACTTAACATCACACTTCACAATACACTTCACCCTTCACTTCACACTATCACCGCACCACTCACCCTTCACACTTCACACTTCACCCTTCACTTCACACCTTACATCACACTTCCCACTTCACATCACACTTCACACACATCACATTCACACTCACATCACACTTCACCTTCACTTCACACCTTACATCGCACACTTCACATTTCACATCACACATCACACTTTACATCACACTTCCCACATCACACATCACTTCCTCCATCCCACCTCACACTTCCCTTCCATCCCACTCACACTCACCCTTCACCCTTCACACTTACATTATTCACGAGTCCGAGGACGAGGTCGACCAGCTCCTCGTCACTCGCCAGGTACTGTGAGAAGACATCGAGGAGCGCCTGGTCGAGGAACATCCCGAGCTCGACCTTGAGGGGGGCGGGGGGGCCTGTCCTCTTGGCGTCCTCCATCTGAAGGAGAGAGAGGGGGGGGAGGGGTTAGTCATGGTGTGGTGGTGGTGGTGGTGGTTGTGGTTGTGGTTGTGGTTGGTTGTTGGTGTGGTTGTGGTAGTTGCTAGTGGCGTTGTGGTTGTGGTTAGTTGTTGTTATTGGTGTTGTGGTTGTGATAGTCGTGTCATGGTTGTGGCTGGTTGTGATGGTATTGTTGTAGTGGTTGTGACTGTTATTTACTCTAAAATGTATTAAAAGTACCAAGTCATTTACTCAAAAATATATCAAATTACCAAGCTGTTTACTCTAAAATGTATTAAAAGTACCCAATAATTTACCCTAAAATATATTGAAAGTTCCTAAACCATTTACTCTAAAATATATCAAAAGTACCCAAAGCTATTTACTCTAAAATATATTAAAGCATTACCCAACCATTTACTCTAAAATGTATTAAAAGTTCCTAAACCATTTACTCTAAAATATATCAAAAGTACCCAAGCAATTTACTCAAAAATGCATTCATTATAAGTACCATAAGCCATTTACTCAAAAATATATTATAAGTACCCATCTATACTTACCGTTGGGTCGATCATCACCTCACTTATATCAGGCTTGCGTACTGGCGAAGGAATCAGGGGCGAGCGACCACAGTTCTCATGGTCTGCGGAACACGGAAATAGTGAGAGCAGGGTTCGTTATACGGTATCAGATCCTTTTCAAAGAGACTGGTTTGGTTTTATGCGATTTGGAGGTCTGTTTTCTCTCTCTGTGGTGTCTGTCTCTGTTTCTTTCTCTGTCTGTCTCTGTCTCTGTCTCTTTCTCTGTCCTCTGTCTCTTCTCCTGTCTCTCTCTTCTCTTCGCACTGTCTCTGTTCGGTCTCTCTCTCTCTCTCTCTCTCTCTCTCTCCTCTCTCTCTCTCTCTCTCTCTCTCTCTCTCTCTCTCTCTCTCTCTCTCTCTCTCTCTTCTCTCCTCCTCCTCTCGTCTCTCTCTCTCTCTCTCCTCTCTCTCTCTCTCTTCTCTCTCTCTCTCTCTCTCTCCTCTCTCTCTCGTCTCTCTCTCTCTCTTACTCTCTCTCTCTCTCTCTCTCTCTGCTCTCTTCTCTCTCTTCTCCCTTCGGTCGCTCTCTCTCCCTCTCCGCGTCTCTTCCCTCTCGCTCTCTCTCCTCTGCCTCTTCGCTCTCTCTCTTGCCGCTCATCGCTCTCTCCTCTTCACCGTCTCGCTCA